CTGTGGTGCCAAGTTATAATGATGGGGGAATAAAGTTTGATGGAAACCTGAATCACTTACATCCTAGAATATTTGTAGATATCATCAAAAACAAGGTAAAGAATGTAAGGGATCCAATAGAAATGAAATTGAATATTCGAAACATGTTAGTGGGCATGCCATTATTATGGTTTTGCAATAATGAAAATTCCATAAATAATGTGCAGGAATTTGAGGCCAAGTTTATTAACTATTTTTGGGGAGAAAACCAACAGGCTAGTTTCAGGGAGCGGTTGTATTTTGGGAAATTCAATTATGAAAAAAGTACCAACTACAATCTGTACGCAATGCAGTTATTCCAGACAGCACAATATTTAGAACCGGCTATGCGAGAAGAGGAGATTGTCCTATACATTGCCAGGCAATATAACCATAACATGGCAGAAACAATAGCTCTCCACAATATAAAGACGATGGAAAGTTTGACAGGATATCTTCAGAGGATTGAGAGGAGTGTAGGGACGCAGAATCGAAATGGACAAGAGCAAGTGACATATAGGAATAACACAGCAAATAGACAGGGATATGTGAATCGAGGGAATAATTATAGGGAAAGAGAATTTGAGAGACAAAATAGAAGCAGGGATTTTACAAATAGGGGAGAGAATTTGAACAATGTCAGGAGAGATATCGGACGATATAACTGGGAACGTAGACAAGGGAATCCAAACAATGATAGAGAGAATAACTGGAGACAAGGGAATGACAGAGGCAATAATTGGAGACAGAACCAGGGAAATTATCCACAGGAGACGAGAAATAGGGAAGTTTACAGAGAAGGGAATCCAAGATATAATAGGGGGGAAAATGAGGAGAGAAGACAGGTGAATGTAGTTAGAACAGAGGAGAATAGGGGGGAAGCAAGTGTTGATGTAGAAGGGAGAAATTTTGTTTAGACCGCTCCTATGTGCATAATATTGTCTACTTATCAAAGTATGAACATCCAAGGGAGTTTATTAGAGATACTGGGGAATTAAATAAAAATAATAACACTAATACTTTAAAGTTTATTGAAGGGTACATACAAGATTCAGTATACAAGTTATTATTAGATACAGGTTCAGAAGTAACTCTAATCAACAAAAACATTGTAAATAATTTAAATAATGCAATATTATGACACGAATTTGGTATTATAAGATATAAGTTTTGTAAATAGAAGGATAATTAATAAATAAGCATATCTTGAGATAAATTTGATAATTAAATAATTTATTAGGAACAAATGTACAGAATAATGATAAATTTATATAAACAAAAAAGGTTGATTTATTTTCAAGTAGATTTATAGGAGTTACAAGTATAAATAAATAAGCAAAGTACTATGGACAAATCGATATTTTGTAGAAATTGGGAAATAGGGAATATTATAATGATAAATAGTATATGCGAAAATAAGATGAAAAATAGAATTATAGGAAATATTGAAATATGAAATATAGAGAGTTATATGTAGAGATGATGGAATGGATATTATATGCGGATACAAAAAGAATAAATAATAATGCGGCAATGAATAAAGATACTGAAATAGTATATGCGGAAATAAATGAATAAAGATATAAAATAAAGAGGGGAACAATTATAAGAATTTCTACGAAATTAGTACGAGAAATAAATAGTACAGGAAAAGAAGTAATGAAATTGGGAAAGTACTTGGAAATTTGATTCTGAAGTTGATATAATTAGTGAAAGATTTGTAGATTTTGTTTGGAGAAGTCTGTATTTTTCATAGAGTAAATTATTAAAAAAAAAATATTCAAGAGATATGCTTATTAATAAAAGTCAGTTTATTGTTATGTTAATATTAATAAAATGTTTAAGTTTATCGGTAAGAATTTAGATTTAGTAAGTGCTGATAGTTAGCACTGAACAAAATCCAAATTGGGGGGAAGTTGAAATGATTTCAATAGGTCAAAGAGGATATAACTTAAAGGGATTTTTATATGAGTTTGTTGTTCATGAATTTCATGAAGCCATCACAATGTGGGGTCGACTCTGAAATAAAAGGGAGAAAAGATTAGTAAATTGCTAAATAAATTAATTTTGACTTACCTGGTATAGTGTTAATAATTTCTGAATAGTATAGTTGCCTAGTGTATAGGTGAATCGTCTAAACCTTAAAAGGAATAAAAAAAGAAGAATTCTTAAAAAATTATTTAAACATAGAAATTTCAAAAATAAACGTCAGAAAAATAAACTGTCAAAAGTCTGTGGGAACTAAATTAATAGGGGTTTTGTTAAATAAATTACAATGATGTGGAGATGAAAAGAATAAATTATATTAGTATTGTTAAGTTTTATATCTGAATTTTTTTTTATAAATTCCCAAATTAGATGTGATTAAAGTGCTTATGAGAAATTAATGTGGTTTGACAAATATGTCAAAACAGGACAGTTTTATGGTTGAATAAAATAGAAGACGGAATGAAAAAAGAAAGTGGGTTGCTGTTAGCAACGAATAATTTTGGTGGTTGGTGCTAGCTATGGCGGTTAACAAGGAAGAATAGGTTGTTGGAGGCGACGAAAATTTTGGAGGAAGAGCCCTAAAAAGGTGGAATAGTCCGGGAGTGCTTTAAAATCGTTTAATTATAATTTAGTTTTTCCACATTTTCAAATAGAGATATCCAGAATTTGTTCCAGAGAGTAAGAGAAATTTTGACTTATAAATTATAATTGGAGTGCAGAAATGTCATTTAGATTGAAAAAGTAAAAATTCATGAATTAACTAATTGCGATAGGCCTTAAAAATTGAAATATTAATGATCATTAAAATAAAAATATAATAGTACGTACCTTTAACTTCCGAAGAGAGGATAGATATTCCAGTATCACCGATTATTTTGCGAGTAGTTAGTTTTCTTTTAAAAAAAAAATCAGAACTGTTTGAAAGTGAGTTTGGATAATAATTTTGGGGATCATTTGAAATTTTGATTATATTTTAATGCTAGTTATAAGTCAGCGGCATAAAGTGTTCAGTTTTCTTTTCTTTATATTTCATTTAAACACTTTATAAAGTTGCAATAGTCATTTAGATTTAAGGTAATTGTAGAGAGTTTCCACATTTTGTAATCAAATTCTATTTTCACGACACATTAAGGTTTACACGATTCCTATTTTTGTAAATTTTTAAAGGCAACCCAAGTTGCAGACGAATTTTATTGTTTATATTAAATTTGTTCAATATTAATAAATAACGTGCTTCATTTGGGTTAATTTATCAAAAATATAAAGTAAATTTTGGTTTAATTTCTTTTTGAACTCTACCAGGAGACTACAGAGTTGACGTCACACAGTGACAGATTGCTTAGAACAAATAATTGAGCTAGCCGAGGTATAGTATATTAACAACGAACTACATACTTTTAAAATTCACTTCAATTCAATTAAAATTATATTTATTAACAATAAAACATAAAAATAATAAAAACAAAACTATTACAATATATATATATATATAAAACCTAGAGCTAAGATTAATATTATTACTAAAATTAATATCAAACTCACCAGTCTTCCGGGTTGAACCGCGTCGATATCCATTTTGCCGAGCTTTCGGCATCCTCTCTGATGCCTTCCTCAGGGCTTCCGAGGTCTCAGTGTCCCGAGCCCCCAGACGCTACCACACTGTTCACTGATCACTACGCTATCACTACTAGTGACTAGTGAGTCACTACTACTATCAGTAGTGATAGCGTAGTGATCAGTGAACAGTGTAGTAGTGTCTGGGGGCTCTGGAGACTGAGACCTCGGATGCCCTGAGGAAGGCATCAGAGAGGATGCCGAAAGCTCGGCAAAATGGATATCGACGCGGTTCAACCCGGAAGACTGGTGAGTTTGATATTAATTTTAGTAATAATATTAATCTTAGCTCTAGGTTTTATTGTACTAACTGCGGAAATCTTTCCGAACATATATATATATATATATATATATATATATATATATATATATATTATATATATATATATATATATATATACAGGGTGGTCCTTAAGTAATTGTACAAAAAGAAACCGCACATTCTACACTTTAAAATATTACGATTTAAGACAAATTGCTTTGTTGATATTTAGAAAGATACAAGTTGTTAAAGTGGAAATTTAAATATACACATAAACTTTTTTGCTCTTTAAGTTACCGGTATTTGTGATAAAAAATATTAAAGATACATCATTTTAACAAAAAAAAGGTATACCTGTTAACCCTAATTATTTTATTATTTTGTCAAATGCTATTATTAATTATCCTGATATATTTATTTTATATTTTTATATCAAAATTCAGAAGTATTGATGTTTTTCTTTAATTTTCTTTCGTTGCCTGGAGTAATTGCGTTAACTCATAATTATGTAGTTGATTTGTAAAATGCAATTATCTTGAAAACCATCTAATATTACCAAGTATACCTTTTTTTGTTAAAATAATGTATCTTTAATATTTTTTACCAAAAATACCCGTAACTTGAAGAGCAAAAAAGTTAGGTACAAATGTATGCCACATTTGTAGCATATGTGGCGCCCTCTATCAGCTATAGCAAAGTATGCATCAAATTGTAATTCCTGATATCCAATACTATCCAGTTGTAAATTTTTATACATAAATGTTGACAAACATGAAGGTTATAGCGAAAAATAAAATTTTGAATTTTCACTTTAACACCCTGTATCTTTCTTAATATCAACATTTGATTAAAGCAAGCAATTTGGCTTAAATCGTAATATTTTAAAGTGTAGAATCTACGGTTTCCTTTTGTACAATTACTTAAGGACCACCCTGTATATATATATATATATATATATATATATATATATATATATATATATTATATATATATATATATTATATATATATATATATATATATGAAGTAGAATAGCTCTGAAGATGGCTTTGTAAGCCAAAAGCGCTCAACTAGGGATTAAATGCTTTACACACTTTTAAAGAAGATACTTTTCTTTTCAATTCATTTATTTGTCATAAGTATTATGTACAAAACATATCAGTCGTTTGCAAATAAATGAATACACATTAATATTATGAACCAGTGACATGAAAAATGTTACTAACATTTAAAATTTGAAATTTATGTTTATATAAAAAATAGTGGACCTACTATATTTTACGTTTATATACTTAACAGTCTAAATAAGATGACTAAGATTTAACAATCCTAAATTTGATAGCATAATTTTTTTTCTGTCTATTTTAAAAAAACTAAAAGACTTTTCTTCCTTTACTATTCAGCATTCTTTATGTTCACATTTTGCACATATCACACGGCCATTTTTCATTATTTTGCCCAGATTTTCAGCAAATGATGCATTTGTCTTCAACCTTCATAGCGATGCCAAGGTCAAGATCGTCTCCATCAACTCAGTCTAGTAGACTAGAAATAAGTGATATTATTTAAGCGGTTGATCACAAATCACAAAAATAGGACTAACGAGCGCGGTATTTCCCTACCGTCCCCCATTCCCGGCCTAAATAATGTTCTTATAAAGAAACAAACAAACAAATAATCATTTTTAATTGAATCAATCTGATTGTATCACAGTTTTTAGATCAGTCATGTCTAAGTAGTCGAATACTTTCCATCTTATTTCTGATGGTAACTGAGGTGCAATTTTTTTCATTATTAAGTCAGCATCTGTAAGTAATTTCATTCTTTGATAGCCTTTCTTAATCCTAAGTTGCACCAACGGAAGAATATTACCATATATCGAAAAGTCTTTAAGGTAATCTTCAATATTTTCCAACTCATTTTTAATATTGTCGTTATATAGATATTGAACAAACGCGTTACCTTTATTAGAATCGCAAATTATTTGATATAATGAAACAGTACTATTCTTTATTATCACACTCCTCATACTTGTTATTTCTGTTTGGCAGTCATTATAGTATTGCGATAATTCTTTGAAGAAAGGACAACCATCTTGAATAAATTTTTCAATGGGATTGTAAATTAGCACGGTGTATTTGACTATTAGCGATGCCATTGTATAATATATTATCTGATCTTCTTCTGGATAATCAGCTGACACATCTTTTAAGGCTATCGATAAAGTAGATGTGCCTTTATATTCAGCTTCTTTTAAATCAGCTCCATTTAGAATTAAGAACTCTGCAATATTTGGGCATATATTTTTTATCGCAAAATATAATGGAGTAGCTCCTTTGGTTAAAGTTTTCTTATTAACATCTGCACCATTTTCAAACAAATATTTAACCATTTCAAGTTGATCCCATTTACAAGCTGCGTGTAGAAGAGTATATTCTTGAATTGTACCGAAATTCGCATCTGCCCCTATGCTGATAAAATATTTCACAATTTCTAGATTACCGGTTTCAGATGCCAAATGGAGTGGAGAATAATTCCTGGATCTCCCCTGTAGATTACACTCTGCACCGTTTTTTAAAAGTAACTGGACAATTTCTAAATGTCCGTCTCTAGAAGCCAAATGTAAAGGAGTCCACTTAAACATGTCTTTAGCATTTATATCAACCCCTTTTTCTATAAGGCCATGAACAATTTTAGCATTCCCTCCTAAAACACCATGATGAATTGAACTCCGATTCTGACAATCTTTGAGACGCACGTTAGCATTATTTAACAGTAAGTAATCTACTATTTCAATGTAACCTCCACAGGCAGCCATATGAAGAGGTGTCATTTTGCTGCTGTTATTTCTAATATCTACATCTATTCCATTTTCGAAAAAATATTTTAAAATTTCTACATATCCATATTCGGTTGCAATATGAATTGGCATATTTCCATAGGTATTTGAACACTGCATATCTGCTCCAGCTTTTGTGAATAATCGGATCATTTCAAGATCATTATTGACCGTAGCAAAATGTAAAGGACTCCTATCCTCGGACATTTCAATAGCGTTTACATCAGCACCGTGTGCCAACAAATATTTAGCTACTTCTACATGCTTGCAATCTGCAGCTATATGTAGTGACGTCAAACCATCAGAATCTACTTCATTAATTATTGCTCCTATTGCAATCAACTGTTGAACTTCTTCTAGGTTCCCAAATTTTGTGGCAGAATGGAGTAGAAACTCATTCTGCTCCATATTTAAAACTACACTGCGTTGACTTTATTAATGATACAATGTTGTTCTTCAAATATCTGAAACAAAAAATAAATGAAAGGTTAGTAAAATAGTAACTGATAATATAAGTGATAGTATTTTTATGGGGAAAAGTCATTTAAATCTGCTTTCAAATAGGTCAAGGACGAAGCCACAATACGAGATGTATCAATTCCACTTAGTTTTTTCTTCTAGATATTAAATTTAACATTCTTAAGTAAAACTTATGCAACAAAGAATAACTCGGGAAAAGCAACAAAATATAAGGATCTTAGGAATGGAATAACGGCGTCCTCCGATCCATTTTTTAGGTTTGGAAACAGGAAAAAATCGCTGGCGGCAAGATCTGGGGAATACGGTGGGTGTGCAACTAATTCATAGCCCAATTCGTGTAATTTTGCCATGGCGACGGCCGATCGGTGAGCCGGTGCATTGTCTTGGTGAAAGGGCACTCTTTTGCGTTCCAAACCGTTGCGTTTGGGCCACTGTTTCGACTGTTCTTTGGTTTTTGGTGTGTAATAATGCATCCAGGTTTCATCAATGGTGATAAATCGACAAAAAATTTTTTCGGATCGCGCCATATCATCGCTAAAAGCGTATCCGAAGTGGACACACGTTTTTGCATTTGATCGATTGTCATCAAACGCGGCACCCATCGCGCGAATAGCTTTTTCATGTTCAAATGATGGTGAATTATGTTGTGTACGCGTTCGTAGGAAATGTTTAGGACCTCTATTAACTCGAGCTTAATTCGAACGATCTGCCATCATAAACTTTGTTGATCATTTCCGGCGTGGTGACTTTATTTGACATCCCGGGACGCTCATCATCAGAAACACTCGTACAACCCCGAACAAATTCAGCTTTCCAAAATTTTACTGTTGCTAACGAAGGTGCAACCTCACAATAAACTTCGTCCAGGTCGGCTTTGATTTGCACATTCGTTTTACACGTTTTGTGGAGGAACTTAATCACCGAACGATACTCGACTATTTCCATTTCTCCGAAAACACAAAATTTGCTTGCTTTTGACGGCTGTAAAAACCAAACTAATTGTTTTTAAAACTTAAAATTTTGACAGAAGTCATGTCATGAATGGCAACTATCAACACCGAAACCAATTCGGTATCCAGTAGCGCTATCTATCAAAGGCTAGTTTAATATCAATATATCCTCGTACTACTGTTCAAGAAGCACTAAGCGTTGGCCAATGGTTATATTCTATACCATATTGAATATATCTGGCATTAATTCAATGTTTATCTTTAATGCAAACGATAAGAATGAAAAAAACGTGAAACAATCACTTTTGTGAAGGGCTAGGCGCGTGCTAAGTCGTTGACTTGTGTGGACACACAATTTTGTTGCCAAGCGAGGCCGGCTAATATATGTTGATTGTACAAAGGTTCTGCCGAAAGAAAGAGTGGATGAGATACATCTTGGAATGGTGTTTTTTTATTGACGAAGGGAAACACTTTAGGAAATAGTGGGAAATACAGCAGGTTTGTTGATGAAAGAACGAAAAAAAAACGGGGAGTTGATTAAAAGATTTTTAAGAGAAAGGTTATTTGTGTAATATCAAATTATTAACTATAATTAAATATTGATTTTCTGTGGGTTTTTTGATAAGTAGTGTAGTAGTGTAAGAAGGCATGGAGTGAGTGATTTTGCAGCCAAGCAGTACAAAAGCAGAGAGCTTCCAAACAATTGTAAGTTTTTATTTAATACTAGTGATCTAAGATGAGGCTAGGGAGATCTTTTTGGTAGGCTACTAGATTTTGGAGCGATTGGAAGCAGAAACGGATTGAAAAAGTTTTTTTTAATTTTTGTCCGGTAAAAACACCTTCTTTTTGCAAAGTTCTAACCAGGAGGAGAGATCATTCAACCAGGAGAATTCAGATTCCAGAAGAAGAAGACGATCTAATTTGAAATTTTAACTTTGATGTTACATTTCTCAAAAAAGACAATTATAGGGAGATAAGTTTGTTTTTTACTAATAGTTATCGAGGTGATTAGAGAAGCAACTTTCATTTGTTCCTATAATTTGTCAAACATGTTAGAGATATGTGATTTGTGTTTTGATTGTCTTATAATTTATTGTCATAATTTTGAAACTGTTAGAAAATTTTATTAATTTTATAGCAGGTATATAAATTAATGTTGCAATTAAAAATAAGCCAAATAGATGTAAAGGTTGCTGCAATTACAACAAAATTAAATGAACTTGAAATTACATTATCATCTACTAACCAACACTCGTCAGCACATTTTGCTGAAAATATCGCCAATGAAGTCATCGATCGTATCAATCGTGCCAAAAATGTTATTGTCAGAGGCTTACCAAAATCTACAGGTGATATTCAAACTAAAAAAGATCAAGACAAACAATTTTTGAAAGAAATTTTACAGACTGTAGAATGTGAAAAAACGGGGAGCTGATTACAAGATTTTTAAGAGAAAGGTTATTCCACTGCAGACAAGGATGAAGACACCATAGAGGCCTTCTATGAACAAATCGACAATGTCTTAAGACTAACTAAAAGACAAGATATAAATATTATAATGGGCGATTTGAACGCTAAAGTTGGCCAAGGAGAAGTGGAGAATTGCGTGGGGCGATATGGACTCGGGGAAAGGAATGAACGTGGCGATAGGCTTGTCGATTTCTGTGTCAATGAGGAACTCATAATTACAAATACCTTGTTCAAACTTCCTAAACGTAGACTATATACATGGAGGTCACCAGCTGACAATAACAACAAAATAGTCAGAAATCAAATAGATTATATTATCGTCAACAGAAGATATAGAAATTCTATAATATCATCTAAAACTTATCCAGGAGCGGACATATCCTCCGACCACAACCCGGTTGTTTTGTCGATGAGAGTGAAACTAAAGAAGGTCAACAGCCCTAGCACCAAGAAAATCATAGATACAAGACGTCTCAAACAAGACAACACATATGTGGAAACCAAATTTAAAATAAACGAGAGCTTAAGGAAAGTCAAAGAAGATAATGCAGAAACTCTAACTGTTGACCAAAAATGGGGAAAAATTCAACATGCCCTTGTGTCAGTTGGAAAAGAAACCCTCAAACCACTTAAAGAAAAAACAAAACCTTGGATGACAGTAGAAATTCTTGAACTCATGGAAGAACGAAGAAAACATAAAGCAAAAGACCTGAATAAATACAAAGAAATTCAGAGAAACATCAGAAAGAAAATTCGAGAGGCAAAAGAGAGGTGGCTCTCCGATAGATGCAAGGAAATAGAAGATCTGGATAAAAAGTACGATAGCTTTAATTTACACAAAAAAATCAAAGAAATGACAGGTTCTAGAAAGCGTACAAAAACGAATATCCTTAAAAATGATAAAGGGAATATTATTACTGATATGAAGGAGAGATTATGTCACTGGACCAATTACATTCAACAACTATTTAATGATGAAAGAGAAGAACTGTCATTAGAAATCACCGAAGATACTGGACCACCAATATTAAGAGAAGAAGTCATCTATGCCATCAAAAACACAAAAGAGGGTAAAGCCACTGGACCAGATGAGGTGCCCATCGAATTATTAAAACTCATCGATGAAGATGTTATTGATGTAATGGTTGAACTCTTTAATCTAATATATCAGACTGCCACAATCCCCAGACAATGGCTGCAATCAACCTTTGTAGCAATTCCCAAAAAACCAAGTTCAACAACTTGCTCAGACCACAGAACAATAGCTTTAATGAGTCACACACTTAAAACATTTTTGAAAATAATTCACAGCAGAATTGTTAAAACTCTTGAATATGAGATTAGTGACACACAATTTGGCTTTAGAAATGGTATGAGTACAAGAGATGCTTTGTTCGGCTTGAATGTGCTGGCTCAGAGATGCATGGACATGAATCAGGATATGTACTTATGTTTTGTAGACTTTGAAAAGGCATTTGATAAAGTTCAACATAAAAAGCTTGTAGATATATTAAAAAGCAAAAATATTGACAGTCGTGATCTGAAAATTATATCTAATTTATATTGGAATCAAACTGCCAAGGTAAGAGTTGACAGCCAGTACACCGAAAATATCAAAATACAGAGAGGAGTTCGCCAGGGTTGCGTGCTGTCCCCACTACTTTTCAATGTCTACAGTGAAGCGGTATTTCAAGAAGCGCTCTCAGACTCAATAGAAGGTATATCTATCAATGGAGAAGTTTTGAATAACTTACGTTTTGCAGACGATACAGTAATAATTACGGATAACAACAATGATTTACAGAACGTAATGCAACGCCTTAATGAACGCTGTCATGAGTACGGACTGAAGATAAATTTAAAGAAAACTAAATGCATGATCATGACTAAATCTGCACATGCAAATATCCAATTGACTATTGAAGATACTGCAATTGAGAGTGTTAATAACTATAAATACTTAGGAACATGGATAACATCAGATGTAGACCAAACCAAAGAAATTAAGACACGTATTGAAATAGCACGTACATCATTTATTAAACTTAAAAAGTTTCTTTGTTGTCGGGATATAAGGTTAGAACTACGCCTGAGAATGCTTCGATGTTACGTGTTCTCTACTCTTCTTTATGGTCTGGAAGCTTGGACACTAAAACAAGTTCATCTGAATAAGTTGGCCGCCTTTGAATTTTGGTGTTACAGAAGAATCCTACGAATATTATGGACTCAAAGAATGTCAAACATGGAAGTAACTAGAAGGATAGGAAATGAGGCGGAAATAATATTAACTATTAAAAGACGAAAACTTGAGTACTTGGGACATGTGATGAGAGGGCAAAAATACGCATTATTACAACTTATTATGCAGGGCAAAATCCGAGGAAAGCGAAATGTGGGAAGACGAAGAATATCCTGGCTTAAGAACTTGAGGGAATGGTTTGAATGCAGTAGTGCAGAACTGTTTAGAGCGGCAGTCAACAGAGTCCGCATAGCCATGATGATTTCCAACCTTCGATAGAAGATGGAACTTAAAGAAGAAGAAGTAGAATGTGACGCAACCTCGGTTACTTTCTTTAGAGTAGGCAAAATTGGTAATAAATATTTTAGAATGATCAAAATGGTCATGAATAATGAGTATGAAGCTAAACAAATTCTGCGAAATAAAAAGAAACTTTGAAAAAGCAAAAACAAAAAATGTATTCATTGGTGATGATAAGACGCCAATGCAAGTTAACTTTTTAAAAGATTTGTGATCTGAGCTAGAGATTAAAAAAGAAAACGGTGAACAAAATTTAACAATAAAATATATACGTGTATACCAAAAATTACTAATTTTCGGCAGTAATATTAAAAAAACTGGCTTCTGCGACTAGCTCTGCTTTTATACAAATTTGGTTACACTACGCTCTAAATTTAATGAACTTTTATGTTACATTCAGGATTTAAAAAATAAAATAATACTAAAAACCGAGACTTGGCTAACACAAAATGATTCTGACAATTTATATACTATAGATGGATACTCTCAACATATTTGATCGCAACAGCGAAGAGGGTGAGGAGTGTGCATATACATGTCTTTAGAAATGTCTGAAACTTTTTCTGTTGCTCATCTGGATATTTTTGTTCCTAACATTGAATTTTTGTGTTTAAAAATTTTTCTTAATTCACTTGATATTTATATTTGGCGTGCCTATATTTTCCAGGTAGTACTGAGAAGATGACCAAATCTTGAGCAATTAAAGGTAATGAATTTTGACAAGAGCTGTGACCTTGTAAATAACAAGTAAACTTGTGTACTAAATCGGCATGACTCATAGCTCTTGTTAAAATCCATAACTTCTCCTACCTCTCTCCTACTGCGAGAAACATTTTTATAAACTTTGTTCAAAGTTTTTAGCCATTCAAAGTTATCTACACCCATTGATTATGAATCCATTTCGTTTCAGAATAAACAATTTACCATCAACGTTAGATTTGGTTTTTACAAATGATGACCAATTGCTTACAAAACCGCTGATATGCACTATAGTTACGTCCCTGGATTATCCAATATGTGACGACATATAGAAAGACTATATATACCAGTGTTTAATTAGATTAAGAGCTTTTTGTTTTGTAGTTGTTACCATACCTGTACGTTCTAAAAAATAAATTTTGTTACGAAAATAAAATTTTTTAAAAATCCGTTTTCGGTTTTGACATTCGTAACTGGCGCAGTCATTCGGATTTTTCGAAGTTGTACAAGTGTTCGTGTTAGCCTTGCCGAATTTCGCGTACAATTTTTCTTTTTAAAGATTAACGGAAAAGATCCAGCTTTCGGGTACGGTAACAGCCAAACGTCCAGGGTGAGGAACAAGCATCGTCCACAACCTATTGGAGAAGCCAAGACCAGGGAGAAGGAACAAGCATCGTCCAGAATCCTATCGGTGCAGACGGAGGAACAAACATAGTCTGAAGTCTATAGAAAATGAAAATATTCATGTAAGTGTTTCCTATTTTACCAATATCCATATTTTTACCTATATGTTATATATTTTTTGATTCACGGTGGAGGATATTTTAGATCATTTAGTAAACTTAACATTTAACGAAATGACTCAACCTAATTTTCAATTAATTAAATATCAAGCTGATAATATTCCTAATTTTGATGGCAATCCAAAACAATTAAATAGATTTATTAAATCATGTGAAAATTTCTTAAATAATCATAGTAATAGAGATGCAAATAATCCTATAAATGTTTGTCTATTTGATACTGTTTTAAGTAAATTAACTGACAGAGCAGCAGACCTTATTGCATCAAGAACAGAACTGGATTCTTGGGCAAAAGTTAAAGATTCTCTTATAGTAACATTTTCTGATCAGAGATCAATTGATTGTTTAGTACAAGATATAATTTCAATGAAACCAGAAAGAAATGAAAATGCACAAAATTTTGGTTTAAGAATCCAAGATGCTAGAAGCATTCTTTGTTCAAAAATTAATATGTCTAATGACCAATTAAATGTAAAAATATTAAAAATTCAACAATATGAAGATCTTTGTCTTAAAACTTTTATAAATGGCCTTAATTATCACATGCAGTTAGTAGTCAGATTAAAGAATCCTGATTCCATAGAGCAAGCAATGGCTTTCGCTAAAGAAGAAGAAAGTTTTATATCTTTCAAAAATCGAAGTAATAATACGAGACCCTCAAATTTTAATAATTCTCGATCCTATAATAATTCTAATAGAAATTCAAATATTAATTCCCAACACTCTTCATTTCCAAATAGGAATAATTTTTCTCGAAATCAGAATTTTTCTAAGTATAATAATTTTCAAAATCGACATTCTTCGCAAAGTTCTAGTCAATACAGAAATAATAATTTTTTCCGAAATCCAA